GGAGCAGACATTCAAGCCACAGCACAATCCACAATATATCTGCAATAAGGCACTCTTTAAAAAAATGTTTTGGTATGGGTGAAAAGTGGGAGCACAACAGGTCAGAGAAGAAGGCCTGAATTTTAATAGGAGGAAAAGATGGTGAAGGACCAAGATGGGAGTGAGAAATTGGAATCAAATAAAGGTACTGGAACTCTTCATCAGGTGCTTATTCTAAATGTTATTTGAGGAACAAAGAAGCAGGTCAAAGCAAACAGAAACTTCTGGTAGAGGCAAGTGTACTGATGTGGAAACATTAAATTTGGTAGCAGCTATCAGTCATTATCTAATTTAATTCTCACAGTAGTCTTAAGAGATATTCTTTTTTGCAGATAAGTGGAGGCTATGGGAATAACACTATTTCACAGGATTGTATGAGGATTAAATGATACTGTGTATGTGATAGCACCTAATAGTGCATGAGCTTCTTGAGGGCATAGACACTTTAAAACTTACATAATGCCAGATGCGATCTGGAACTTAATAAAGAATCTGCTGAATAAATTTAATGAGTGATAGAATGTAACATAGGACCTATCATATAAGTATGTGCTGAACAAGTGAATGATTATTGATTCTAAAGACCAGCAGCTAAAAGGGAAGTAGGGAGAGCCACAATATCACTTAAGGTTCTGGAATCTATGATAATAAATCATCTAATAGATATAGATATGACTTTTTTTTTTTTACAGGTCTGGGGATTGAACTGAGGGCCTCACACTACCACTGAGCTACATCCTAAGCTGACATATAACTTTAAGAACTGGTAATTATTTCAAAAACTTGAGAAAAATGTGTAATGCTGATGCAGAAAACTATGTATGCTACACTTCTCCTTTAAATAAATTTAGGAATCTATATCTTTACTTCACTATATCCTTAAAAAAACCCTAAGGCATCATAATAAAGAACCCTAGCTAGGTGTGGTGAATAATGCTTGTAATTCAAGCACTCTGGGAGATAAGGCAGGGGGATTGCAAGTTCAAGCCTAGCCTGGGTAATTTACAAGATCTTGTCTCAAAATAAAAAATAAAAGACCTGGGAATGTAGCTCAGTATGAAGGTCCTGGGTTCAATCTCCAGTACTGCAAAACAAAAAACAAATTTAATTATTATGTTGTTAAAGAACTAAATATTCCAGTTAGAGAACAAGGATTGTCAAATCGGACGGCAAAAGCAAACCCAACTACATGAGGCTAATAAGAAATATATCTAAAACAAAAAGATACAGAGAGATTTTTTTAGAAGTTGGGGGACTTTTTGCAAATACTAACCAAAATAAAGCTAACATAGTAATAATAATTAGATTTTAGAACAAAAAGCATTATCAGTGATAAAAAGAGACTTTCATAATGAAAACAGTAAGATTCATCAGGAAGATACAAGATTTAATTTGTGCTTAATAACATAGCTCCAAAAAAGATAAAAATCAACAGACCTTAAAAGAGAAACAAACACACAATCACTGAGAGATTTTAACATTCCTCTTTCACTTGAGCAAGAAAAAATCAGTACAGGACAGTAAAAACTAACATAATTTTGGTCTCTGGAGAAAATCTATATAGAAGATAGACTTTGACCAAAACAGCTTGTTATAGACCTAAAGTGAACAACAAAACCAAATCCAAGTTTCATGTGTTCATAGGTGGGACTTTCAAAAGGTGATTGGATCCTGAGGGCTCCAACTCCATCAATGGATGAATTCATTGATGAGATAACTGGATGGCATTATTGAGAAGTAATGGAAACTTAAAAGATGGGGCCTCATTGAAGCAGTGGAACAAGGAGGTGTGACCTTGGGGGGAAGGTCTGGTCTCCAGCTCCTTCCTCTCTGGCTCTTTCCATCTCTCTCTGCTTCCTGGGTGCCATGAGGTGAGTAGCTTTCCTCTGCCAAACTCTTTTGCTATGATGTTGCTGCCTCACTGTAGGCCTAGAAGGAATGGAACCAAGTAAGCCATGGACTGAAACCTCTGAAACTGAGGCAAAATTCAAATGTTTCTCTCTCAATTGTCAGATATTTTGCCATAGCAATGAAAAGCTGTTAGTCATTTTCCTCCTTGCTGAGACACAATACCTACCTACCAGATAACCACAACTTAAGAGGTTTACTTTGGGTCACAGTTACAGTCCCTGGTGAGCTGACTCCAAAGTAGAAAAGGCATAGAAGGGCCTGGCAGAGGAAAGCTGCTCACATCACAGTACCCAGGAAGTAGAGAGAAGAAAGGAGCCAGGGAGGGAGATATACTGTTTCAGATCACAACCCTGCTCACCTCTTCTCACCAGGCTTTATTCCTAATAGCACATTTAGCTGTAGCAACTCCCCCCACTCCATGATCCAGTTAACATACAAAAGTTACCAACCTCTGAATGCATTAGAGTTTTGGGGTTAATTATTGATCTAAACTATAACACTAATACACCCTATGTGTAGAAGAGTGGATAAATTCAACTAGGAAATACATGTAGAAAAGAATCAATAATAATATTGCTTCTCGGCTTTTTGGCTAAGATCAAGTGAAAATAATCAGCAATAGAAAACTAAGAGGTACCATCTTTTAAAACAGGCAAATGAAGCAGTTAAGGGCAAGGAGAAATCATTAGAAGGTACCTGAGACCTGGGTAAGCAAGGACCCTGTTAAGGTCTCCATGCTTCAGGGAAATGAGTGCTTTGAAGTGCCTTACTCAAAATATTTTGAAGCTTCCTTCAGTGTCTGGGATAAAGCAAGGTCAGACCCAGTCCCATGAGAAGGAAACTGGTTGCCAAGCCAGAAATGCCTCTCTTGACATTTTCTAAATCTCACTTTTGTGCCTGGAACAGGGTAATTTCTATTTGAGGCTTTTCCCAAACTTCTATACCATCCTTAGCTGTACCAAATACCCTTACAAGTGCTAGAACTTGTGCCTACGAAATCACCTTGGGTTTGAAATCATTCCTACTGGCGGAAGAACTATTTCTTTCATGATACAGTACTATCAGAATGGTGCTGACCAATTTTAGATGACTATCATTTTGGACAAATTTCAGAGTTCTAGACGAGCAAAGGTCACCACAGACACTTGGGATTAAGTTGTATATGGAAGCCTAAGCATAGTCTCTCAGATGTGTGAGTATAGTGGCAGTTCTGTATCCTATTTGCCTCCTGCCACTGCCACCAGGGAGGTCACCCTACCTGCCTGTTCAGATTCTACATCTTGTGTTAGATCATTCCTGTCTCCTTTGAGCCCTTTCAAGGCTGTTGTTTCACAATGCCAATGGTTCCTTCTAATCATGTCCTCTCCTTTCCAATCAATGATGACATTGTGCTCTTCAGGTTTGGGCTTAAGCCATGTTGATGGAATGGATATTCTTTGCATAAATGAAACCTATCTTTGCTCCACCCATGGGCCCCTGGTCTATCGTTCCCAAATGTGGCCAACACTGAAACATCATAGTCTAGGAATGCAGTAATTATAGCAAAAGAGATTTCAAGAGAAGACATGATTGCAATATGTGTTCAATGTTTATGTTACAAAAGTCCAGATGGTAAATATAAGACTGGAAAATGAATAGTAATTCATACTCTGGGTAGGATTTCATATTTTATAACCATCAGTAAAATAGTTAATAAACTTAGTCATTCAAAACAGCATTCCCAGTGGCACAATGGATATAGCATCATGAATACTGCAGCATTAAATAAATGGCATTAGGAAACTGCACAGGTCAAGACTATACAGGTCAATACAAATAGGTTCTAAAGGGTCATAGCTTTGTGACAACTAATGGCACTGCTAGTCTTTTATTGCAGGAGGAGATACGAAGTTTGCCAGAAATAGTACTTTTGACGGAAACATCACAAACTATTTCCAATTCCTTGAGATGGTGCCTGTTTATTAAGAATCTTTACACGCACTGACTAGACAACGGACATGCACCTTTTTTTCTACCCATTATACTAAATCTTCATTGATAAACTGCTTCACACGGGCTCATGAATTACATAAGGTATTTCTAACTAAACTTATTTACAGAAGGGCTCTGAAAACTATTTTCCCTACAGGAAGACTTATCAAACAGAAACTAGGAGAAACCAGAAACCATGAGATGTCGTATCTTAGAAAAAGAAGTTCAAAGAGATCAAATAAAAATAAGGACTAACAAATCCACTGGATTTAGGGGTAGAAAACCACTATTTTTTTTTAAACTCTTCTGTTGGCAAATTATCAAAATAGAAAGTTCAAGAGAGAGACCCAGCAGAACAAGGTCAAAATATGAGGGAAGGTTTGATACAGGATCCCAAAGATGAGTATAACGAAATAACAGCCCAAACACATTAGGACTAAGTCAATGTGCACCATTTTCTGAGAATAGAAGAATCTGAGGAGGGAATACAGATATAGACAAGTGAATAGGTATGGTTGAGGAAAGTGAGGGAATATCAAGAAATCTCAATATTCTCCATGAAGTGAAGCAAGGAGAGCAGCAATAGGTTGGTGGCATGAAGAGTGAAGATTTGGAATAGGTGCTATGGGGAATGACAAAGAAAGCTGATTGAGGATATGTAAGAGTCCACAGGGAACAGCTGAGGTGCTGCCTGAAGGTTTGGAAATTGCTCACTTTGGCTTTTATTAGCACTCCAAGCTTATCTACTGTCATAGAACATACCAGATTCCAACTGGACTACTTTACCTCTACTAGACCATGGATTTGAATACAAGGAGCTTGACTTTTATTTTCAAGTTTCCAGCAACAAGCATAGTGCTTGAGATGTTGTACTCACTCCATGACTAAATGTGTGTAGCATTCATTGCAAACCTTTATCACTGCATATTGTTTTGTACTGAAACTGTTTACATGTCTGTCTTACCCAGTAAACTAAAACCTTTTGAGATACTGATTTTTTTTTTAGCTTATATCATAAACTCAGCATAGTAGTCCATTAGATAGCAGGCATTTTCCAATTTGAGCTGAACAGTTAAAACTTTGTTTTGGTTTGCAAAGCTTTTATTTCTGGGTGTACATGTGATTTTAACAAACATTTCTGAAGAGAAAAATTGACAATATTACTAAAGTACAATTGACAGTATAAGATAAAGTGCCCAAGTATCTAAATAACAATATTCTGGATAAAACACTGGGGGAAACAATTGCTTTACATTTTAAAGACTCAATAGCACCCACTACAGTCTTCTCTATTTATTCTTCAAGTGTGCAAAATTTAAAGAATATTTTCTGTGCCACTAGAGGCAAAATTTTCGAGATTTATCTTTGTTTAAAAGTCTAGGAATTGGGTTCAGGTAATTTTTTGTTTTTTTTATGAAAACAACTCAGGTGACCAAGCACTTTTTGCTTCAGACACTGAAAGTAGACAGTTTCCTGAAAAAGAATCAAGTCCAAAAACCGACTCTTTGGAAATCTGGCCTGAACTTTTACAGTTATATTTAGTTTTCTGTTTTGCACCTATTGCTGTAAACACATTTTTAAACTTCCTAATGAAATATACATCATTTCTTTGTTTGGTATGTTTCAGTTTCTTTCTTGGTACCTCTTTTTGGCCAGGGGAATTATGGGCAGCAAGGCATTTCTTTAAACCCATGACTTGTAATTCAAGCATATCTGAATGAAACACTTTTGTTGTGGTAGGGGGGACCCATTCATAAGCATCAGTTTCAAAGCACTCAGCAACAGTACAGTGGTTGAAAATCTCTGGTTGTGTAATACTAGATATAACAGGGCTTCTAGATTTCTGGCTAGATATTTTTATATTTTGCGGACAACTTGGAGTGGCTTGCTGTTTGTTATTTTCAGGAGAAACTTGTGTTTTTTTATAGTTAGTATTAAGATTTGCATAAAATGTAGGTAATTTTTTGAAAGTTCCATGTATTCCATGAGTTCTTGTGTGGTGGAATCCTGAAACTGGAGTTGACTGTGAACATGGAACAAAGTCTTGGCTATCTTCAAGATCATATTCCAAATCTGACTGAAGATGAGGCAGAGGAGAACATTTTCTTGGATACACAAAGGCAGGCATGCTTTGCAAGGGTGAAGACTGAGTGGAGTTTTCAGAAAGTGATTTTAGTAAAAAACAAGACTCTTCAAGATGACTTCCTGCCAAAGATGTTTCCCACTGTAACAAAATATCTTCTGATTTTTTTGTAATTTCTGTTGTAATGTCTGTATCTTTAGCAATATCATCAAACAGATCAGCAGAAGCATTGTAGCTACCTTCATAACCAGGAGAGCTTTGTGTTAAATTATCTATACGTCCATATGATGTTTCTTTTGATGTATTTGTACTTCTACCTGGATTACTGCAAAGAGTTTCTAAAGGATATATAAGTTTCCTACAAATTGTAAGACTGTCATGTTGGTTCTTTGGCCACATATGTTTGTTTTCTAATTTGCAAAGACCAGAAACATCACTGTATGTCTTAGAACACAAAGTTGTTAACTTTTCATTCACTTGTGAAAGTGGCTGTTTTCCACGTCCATCAAAATATTTGATACTAAGATAAGAATGGTCATTCTCTGAAGTACTGGGGGTACATGAAATTTTATCTCTATGTGGTAGAATTTTGATAGTTTGCTTTACAGTAACAGTTGTTTCTAAATCTTTTGAAGATGGAAACAGAGCTGACAGACAAGTGTTTCGGAGACAATATTCTGAAACACCACTTCCATTACTGTTTGCAGAGATAGCTTCTGTTGGTCTATTCCTGCATATGGAGACAGCATCTGCTGTGTTATCTGGTTGTGACTCCTTGTGAATACTAGGACTTTGATTTGCTTCACAGTTGGAAAAGAAGTTATTTTTGCTAGAGTTTGCTTTGTCTGTTGCTTGTGATGATGTTGAAGTTACAGGTGGTGTATGTAGTGTTCCAGTTCTCCAGGGAGACACAGATAACCTGGTATAGTAGTCTGCATGGAATTTATCAATGTCATTATCTACATTATGTTTCTTATTCCTGTTATCTCTTGGGGTTTTAGGAATCTCACTTTCAACAACTGCCAGAAACTTGTCCAGGCTTTCAGATAATGGAAGATCATCCCAAACCACAGGGTCAAAATCCTGGGAACTGTTGTTTACCTCTTCAGGTCTGGGTGATGCAGGTAAACAACAGGTAAAGGTCTCTTGATGGCTAGTGGTGCTGTCTACATCATGATGCTGGTAACATGGCAGCTCATCCTGGGAATACTCATTTTTAATTCCTACTGCATTGTGGAAGGATTCTACACTACTTGACTCAAGGGGCTCTTGCATTTTCAAAGGGAATAAATTAGATGTAATTCTAGTTTCATGATGACTGCTGTGAATTACACTCAGTTGATTAGCTTGTAAGCTAAGTTCTTCACCCAAATTTTTTGTTGTACTTTTTTTGTCCATATACAAAACAAAGCTCCACGAACCCTGAATGGAATCATGGCAATCATTGGAACCAGTGGTCTCTGCAAAGGACATACTCTTTCTGTTTTGGTGAAGAGTAGCAATGGCCATGCTTTTTTCTGAAGCTGAAACATCATCATTATCTGTTAGTGAAACAGTGGAGGTGAGTTCAAGTGGTAGGTGACAGAATCTTGAAATATTATCTGTACTATGAGACTCCAAAAAACAGGATGTACTATCAGAACCATGTATGCTGCTGAGATCACTATTTGACTGATCTAAAGAAAATAACTGGCTGTTAGGTTCCTGGGAATTACAGTGTAGTTTCCTCAAATTGGAAGTCTGCAAAAGCTGATGGAAATAGCCAATGACAGTGAAGCCTGCAACATGTGGGTCTGGCAGAATAATCTGGCAAGCTACTAGTGCTCTGATTTCTCTTCTTACATCACGACACCTTTGTAAGAAGTTACTAGAATCTGAACCATGTCCATATTGGTTTTCAAAATTCTGTAAAAGTAAGTTAAATGAGAATAAAATGGTCTTTTTTTGATTCAAATAAAACAACAAAGATTTTAAAGGTTAAAGCAAATAGAACTAACCTCTACTCCCTCTAATTTCAATTCCTTTGGTATTAAGGGCAGAATAGAATATATAAAAGAATATAAATCTTGGAGTAAGGAACACTCGTCTTCAAATGCTCCTGTATATTAGGGTTTTGGGCAAGTTACTTAACCTTGTTGACCTTTAGTTTCCTCATTTATAAAATAAATATAAAAAGGTTGGATTATTGTTTAGCAATAACAAAACTGCACAGTGCATCGCAAAAATAGTTGCTTATAAATGGCAATTACCATTATACTTGTCAGGAAAAAGAATGAATAAAAGAAAGAACAAAATGAAAAAAGAAAACCAAATCTTCTCAGACTTTAACAAAGTAAAGCTCTGTAGCTCTTGTTTTCACCTTTTCTTTTAGGTTTTCTCACTGTTCAGTTGTGGAATGATCTATTCTTTTTAAAACCCTAATTCTAATATAGACAAAGTTTCCATTTGTCTCCTTTAGTGTAAATCAGACAGAAAACTATTACTCCTTTGAGGTTGGACTTTTTAAAAAAAACTCCTTCTATAGTCATTTTTGTAATTATTCAAGACCTTTCCCCAACCTATTCTTAACTTTTGCATCATCACTCAGATATTTTGCCTTTAATGTTAGTTCCCTCCTCTTTTTATAGGTGAGAGAATTAAAAACTAGATAATCAATAAAAAATTTACCACATAATTTGAACAAAACTGGGAAAGTGAAATAAAAACACCAGATTACAAAATAGAATATCTAATACTTTTCTAAATTTATAATAAATTTACGTTTTAAAATTTTATTTATGATAAATTTATATTTTTAAAGTTCTGAAACCATCTGAGCTGGGCTTTTCTGACTTTTGAAAGAGGAAATTGTTTAGAGTGATGTTGAATTAGATTACCTAGAAGCTATTTTTACACAGTTTAAAGAGCTTCCACAGGCCTTCAAATTTATTTATGTAACTCCTCTAAACTATTTAGAAAATCCAAATCATTTCATTACATTGGAAATTATTAAAGCCCAGCTCTTGTAATTACAGCACTCTGAATGGATGAGGCATGAGGATCCAAGTTTAAGCTCAGCCTGAGCAACTTATCGAGACTTGTCTCAAAATAAAAAATTAGAAAAGAGGTGGGGATGTAGCTTAGTGTGAAGACCATGGGTTTAACCCCCAGTACCACCCACTCCCACACAAAAAGGTTAAGAGAACAGTAAAAGAAAGGTAGTCTCAATTACCGTCACTCCAAAAATAAAGCTTTGCCCAACAAAGCAAATTTCAACTGCTTTGGTTAACAGGTCCTGTGCTGTATCACTGTCCAGTGTTTCTGGAATTTTATTAGGATCCTGAATGTATCTGGGAAAGAGAATAAAAAAATGTGAAGAGATAAACTTTGATTTTTAATTTGCAAGAGTCCAAAGACACAATTAATTTTAAAATACAACTTGAACCTTTTGAATTACATAGAGAAAAAAAATGTCTTTATGAGCTAGACATTTCATTCCCGGTAGTTTTACCATAGCACAGAAAGACAAAAACATAAACAAAAGCAAAAATCTCACCAATCAAGTGTAAATAAAATAGATCCTTGCTTAGTCACCAGGCCCAGCAATCATACTGGTGAAAAATAAAAGTGCGAGGGGGTGCAGGTGGGGGTGTTACTCTGGCAATTCTGTCAGTGGTCTCTCTAGTGTTCCTTCCTTCAAATCAGTTTGTCTTCAACCATAAGAACACAGAGATTTCTTCTGCCAAGTGATTAAGTGAGACAGGCAGAAGGGAGAGGGGAAGAAAAAGCTTTAGTTGTTTATATAGATCCTTACATTCTGAGGATTATGTCCAATTAAGTCAAATGATGGTCATGAAGCTGTACTGCAAGTCACAAGTCAAAGAATGACAAAATTTCAACTTCTATGTATATGTAAATACAGTATCCCCTTAAATAGCTTCTCCTTTGAATTTATTTTCTTATCTAAATTTCTCTAACTTGGATTAGAGTTTTTTAATTTAATAGTTTATAGCTCCCATTCAAGTACTAACCAGGCCAGACCCTGCTTAGCTTCAGATCAGACGAGATCAGGCACATTCAGGGTGGTATGGCCGTAGACAATAGTTTATAGCTTAGCTGTAAAGAAGTCTGGTGTTACACAAACACGATATGTATTCATGAGATAAATATCTTTTTCTTTCTCACTTGATTATCTTTTAAAGGAACTGATGATGTAAGGTTGAAAGTTTATGTTTTTATTTATTATCTTTTTTTAAATTAAAAAAATTTTTTTTTCCCCATTAAGTTTATTGGTACATTTTCGGTATAACATACAGTTACATTCATCATTGGGATCTTGTACCTTTACATGAGTATCTTGGTTCTTATTTTTTTCCCCTTCCCTTGCCCTCCCTTCACCCCCTCCACCCTTCCCTATTTGCAAAGACCTTGTTTCCATTTTTTTTCCTCTTTTCATATTTTTTCCTTTCCCTTTTTTCCTTTCCCCTACCCCTACCAATTCCCCTGCTCTTTTAGACCTTTTCTTCCTGTTACACAATATCAATTATACATTTTTTAAATTATAATATTAAGATCTAGGAGACATTACCACAGATTTTACAGAATTTAAAAAGATATAGAAAGCATATTACAAAAATCTGTTTTGAAATAAATTTGACAACTTCTAAGAAGTACCTTGGAAGACAAATTAATGAAACTGACTCTGGAGGAAATATAAAATTTGAATAGCACCTATTAAAGAAAGTATATTCCTAGCTTGAAAACCTACCTATATGACAACAGCAGGCTCATAAACATTTTAACTGATAAATTGTATCAAACAATTAAAGCAGAAAAAAGAAGGAACACTTCTCCCCTCATTTTAGGAACTCAACATTGTGCTAATCCTAAAACTGGATAAAGATAACAGAAGAAAAAAGTATGAACATAGATAGAAATTTGTTTAACAAAACAAACTATTGGAAGTCAGATCTGTAATGCCTATTATCTTAAAAACACTTATCTTCAAATTCTATTAGCATACTAACAGAGCATCCAGAAAAAAGAATACTTTAAATATTGTTACCTGTGCAAATCAGTGGCAGTAAGACCAAAAAATGCATCTAAGCAGCTTCCAAATACAGTAATGATAAATAATTTGTTTGATTCTGCAACTTTTAAGGAAAGTTTATATCTGTAACTTATATTTTCTGCTTCACCAGTAGAGCCACATTTTGGACAATTAGATCTAAAAAAATGGAGGAAAAAAGTATAAAGCTGTTCATTAAAATTGTTTTTAACGTGATGAAAAATACCATAAAGATTCAAAGTAATAGTTTTATACAAACACTCCTAGTAACTTACATTCTTCTTAAACTATTTATGATCAACTTCTTTTGAATTTCTCTATTCATTAAAAATTGGCTTTGCTGATTTAAATTAAGTAGCAACAAACTCATAGAAATACAAGTGCTAAATGTTGAAAAAACTATGTGCACTGAGAAAAAAATAAGAATTTTGAAATATTTATATATAAAGTACTTAATTGCATTTTTTTTACCATTATAAAAATTATTTTCTTTAATTCACTGGATTATGTTGAGAATTATCAATTATAAATTAGATATAAAAACCATTCAATTTAATCTGTTTTCAAGGCAACATGCAGTGTGGCCAAAGGTTTTCTAGTCAAAAAGTACACACCAAGAATAATTCTATTGTCATGTTTTAGAAGATCTGGTTTTGGGACAGTAACCAAATTCTTGAAATTGTTAATACCTTCTCTGTAATATTTAGGGCTGAGAAAGGGTAAAATGAGACAAAGAATAGAATGGAAATCTTGCCAATGTAATAGTCTGCTCCCTCATAATTATACTAAATATAGTAATGGTAACTGTCACTTCTATTTTTCTGTTTTCTAGCTTGTAATAATGGAAGTCTGATTTCTACTTTTCAGGTTCTTAATTTAGCAAATTAACCCCTAAAACATCTTATGATAATGGCTAATACTAGAACTTTCCTTTTTGTCATGTTGATAATGATCTGGCTTAAAATGTAGTGGCAAAGGGGAAACAGAAAGTAATGTTAAAGATAGTTGTATAAATTTGGTTGCTGCCAAATAACCACTAGGGGGAGTATATAATCTTTAGCTCTCAAAGTGATTTTCAAAGAAAGCCTTTTATGTTCCTGATTCACCATCATAGATAGATCTGTGCTAATTACTATTGCTTTTTTCCTCCACACTGGGGATAGATCTATACTGATCCATTCATGTAATGATACTCAAATCTGTGCAGTAGGCCGGCCATAGAATAAAGAGAATGCACTAGGAAATAAAACAATTTCTCTTTAGTATGAAGCTCTAGTGAAATGAACTAAGGATTTAAATAGATATTAGTTTTTTAAAGGTTATGTATTAATAATGCATTCATAGCTAATGTAAAATCCCTAGTAAATCTTTGAAAATTAATATTCATCAGTGTTTTGCCATTTATAAATATTTTCAATGTACATTTCATTCTGTTTTCTGTGTACATTATTTCATTCCATATTTAATTCCTTTACAGATGGGGAAACTGGCCTGAAGTTTTGCCCAAGGAGACAAAATTTATGAATTTCATGATCCAAATCCAAGCTTTGGACTCTTAATCTAAAATTCTTTCCTGTATGAGGTCTATGAGAACAATTTGGTTAATAATGAAATATTTTGCAAATAGATTATCAGTGATAGCCTAACAAAAACTAGGTCTATTTCTGTTAATACATGTACACACTAAATTACTTGTACTTTTATAAGACACATATGCCTATCAAAGATATTTATTTATATAGTTTTAAAAATCCTTTTGGGAATCATGTTGGATTGAAATGTTAGTATGGTACAATATAGATTATACTTCTCAAACTGTAATTGGATAAAAATCACCTGGGGATCTAAAATTAACATTTGGACTCAATAAGTCTAGGACAATTCTGCCTTTCTTTTTCTTTTTTTGCAGTACAGAGGATGGAACCTAGGGTCTTCACACTAAGCAATACTGCAAGTCTGTATTTATTCATTCATGTATGTATATATGTATGTTTGTTTTTGAGACAAGTTTTTACTACTAAATTACTCAAGCTGGGCTCAAACTTGCAATCTTCCTGCCTCAGCCTCCCAGAGTGCTGGATCACAGAAACATGTGACACCAAGCTCAGCTAGAATTCTGTATTTCCATTAAGCTATAATACTAAAGCAAGTGTTTCTTCAACCCACTTAAAAAGCAAAGGCATAGACAAAACATTCAGATTATGGTCCCCATTTAATTTCTAGAGACAACCTTATTTCTAAGCTGTCATTCATTATGCAACCAGTTATTTCAGGACTGTGGTGATTAACTGATTAGTTGTCAACTTGAGTGGAGAACACCCATTGAATTGAGTTGGCAGATTCTAGGTGTGGAAGACCCACTTAAGGCTTGTTGTTGGAAAGGTATAAAAGGACAATGGGAAGGAAGGATTTCATGCTGATTTTCCTTGGAAGAGCTTCACTGTGGCTGTTGTTCCTCCAAGGGGCTTTGGGCTTTGGCTGAGCTCTGATCCTTGCTGTCGCCAAGGATGGAGCTGTTCTCTTCAGAGGACTGCCGTCTTCGTCTTGGTATTTGCCCTCACCTTGGGTGTTGTCTCCTAACTCTCTAAGCCGATTCTTCAGCTTCCAGCCCCTACTTTTCAGCCTGCTGGAGCAGACTCTCTAGGCTCCAGCACTGGCCCTTCGACTTTCCAGTGCAGACCCTTTGGTATTCATTTGCAGATTCCTTAGCCTACTTGTTTGGAACACTGCCTTGGCTGGGTTCTTTGGATTTCTAGTGCATGGAGATACCTCTTGCACTCTTCTACATTAGACTCTGTGGGCGGGTATTGTCAGCTAATCTTGTAAATTTCTGTGTCTTGCATTAAATCTGTTTCTCTTGCAAATACTGACCTCAACAAAGATCATCTATACTCTTCAAGCTCAGTCTGGGGAACTTATGGACTTAGTGACATCTTGTTTCAAAAATAAATAAAGTACATACATACATACATAAATGGGGTAGGGATGTAGCTCAGTGTGAAGGCCCTGGGTTCAATTCCCAGGGAAAACAACAACAACAGGAACTTTTGTTTATGTGAATAATATTCATTTATATTTTAAAAATTAAAATATTCAATTGACAAAGACTAAACATATTCAAGGTATACAAGATGAACTGAGGGGCTGGGGATACAGCTCAGTGGTTCCGCTGCCTGCCTTGCAAGTGCAAGGTCCTGAGTTCAATCCCCAATACCCCAAAAGAAAAAAAAAAAAGAAAAGTGGACAAGATGAACTGAAATACATAGTGTGTAATGATTACAATCAAATGAACACATTCATCATCATTCACATCTCTAGAACTTCATCTTATATCTGTAGTTCTAAGAAACTAAGTTAAAATGAAACAAAAAATTAAAACGTCTCACTCCAGAAAGAATGGCTATCATCAAGAAATCAACCAATAACAAATGCTGGTGAGGCTCGGGGCAAAAGGAAATCTTTTCCATTGTTGGTGGGAGTGTAAATTGTACAACCACTATGTAAATCAGTGTGGAGATTCCTCAAAAAACTAAAACTAGGGCCGGGGATTTAGCTCAGTGGTTCTGCCACCTGCC